TAACAGTTTCCACCAGTTTACCCGGTATTAACGTCAGACTGACTAGCCCGGCCTGTAATTTCCCGGATCTCCTCTGGAACCCTTTTTAAAGATGGGAGTGACATTAGCTACCTTCCAGTCCTCAGGAATGGAGGCTGATTTTAAGGAGAGATTACATATTTTTGTCAGGAGATCCACAAGTTCACAATTGAGTTCTTTCAGAACTCTTGGATGTATGCCATCTGGGCCTGGTGATTTATCAGTTTTTAAGTTGTTTATCAGTTTTAGGACCTCCTCTCTCGTCACCTCAATCTGACTCAGGTCTTTCAACACCCCTCCCGAACTCAGCGGCTCTGGAGTGGGCAAGCACCTCTCATCTTCCACAGTGAAGACGGAGGCAAAAAATGCATTTAGCTTCTCAGCCATTTCCCTATCGTCCTTCAGTACTCCTTTTACCCCTTGGTCATCCAAGGGCCCCACTGCCTCCCTGGCTGGTTTCCTGCTTCTAATGTATTTGAAGAAAGTTTTATTGTTGGTCTTTACATTTTTCGCTATATGCTCCTCATATTCCATTTTTGCCTGCCTGACCACAGACTTGCATTTTATTTGCCATAGCCTGTGTTCCCTTTTATCAGCCTCACTGAGTCTAACTTTCCACCACTTAAAGGAATCCTTTTTACCTTTTACAGCTTCCGTTACTTTGTTTGTTAACCATGTAGGCTTTTTTCTATACCTATTTGTGCCTTTCCTAACCCGCAGTATATATTTTTTCTGAACTCTAGGATTGTAGGATTTTAGGATCCCTGATGTAATATTACTATCTTCTTTGTGGTCTCTCTGCATCACACCTCTGGGATATAGTGCGCCTGCGCCGACCTTGATTGGTTCTTCTTGAAAGCGAAAGGAATTTTCACGCTGGCCCCACTGCGCATGACCAAGGGAGGGGCATGACAATCCCACCAGCTCTCTTCTGACCACCGTGCTGGTAGGATCTTCCCTGCTTCGGTCAGTTAAAAAAAAAGGTCTTTTAGGCTTATTCCTCGTTTTCTTCGAAGTTTTTCGTTTTCTTCTTGTATATTTTTGTTAAGTGAAAGAATTTTGTTTTTACGGATTTATTTCCTTTTTGAACTCTGTTATGTGTGTGTCCCCCCTTCCGGCCTATGGCCAAGAGGTGGGGTTTCTTTAAATGGTGCCTTAAGTGCGGCAGCAAGATCACCCCCCCAGACGGACACTCGCTTTGTCATTTGTGCCTCGGGGAATCACACTGAGTGGACTCTCGTGCTCATTGTGCCAGGTTTTCGAAGCAGACAAGGAAGAACAGAGCTGCCAGACTTCGTGTTGCGCTTTTGGAGGTAGCGCTTTCACCGATGTTGTCACAGGACACTTCAGGGCATACGTCGATGTCGACTGCCACCTCGGCATCGACGGCTGTGCTGTCCCCGATATCGACTCACATAGATGTCGACCGCCTGATGCTGAAACGCTCGGCCCAGACATCTCAGTCCTTAGCCCATACTCCCTCCAAAATTTGCAGGGAGGGCAAGGACGATCAGCCAGCCAAGCATAAAAAGCATAAGAAAACTCCCCCTGTGCAATCTCCGCTGACCCCTCAGAGGGCCTTGGAACCGAATCCTATGGGGGCTGCTTCCCTTGACTTTTCGAGCCGAGAGCAGCCACAAGGTGTACCTCAGTCGCCTTCGCTGCGTCCTATCCAGCTCACTGACTCAGAGCACATTATGGACTTGACACAGATCTCCCAGTCTTTCAGAGTCAAAAGTCTGCACGCAGACCACGGAGCCAATGCATTTGTCCATCCTTCACATCTCCGACCTGATGATTGAGACTGACCATCGGCACCGATCCACCCACCACCACCGCTCTCCTGGGACCAACAGCAGTAGCAATACATGTATGGGGCCTATCCATTTACAAGCAGTATGCTGTGGTTCCCACCCCAACCAATGGAGTGGGACCGTCAGTCCACCTCTTCATGTCTCTCCTGGTATCGAGATCCTCCATTGACATGGGAGTTTGTGAGGCCTCAACCATCGAGGCCGACGGGCAAACCTCCCAAGCCGTTGTACCCGACAGTTACAAAGTTTAAAGAACCATCTAATCCAACTCCATCGATACCGATGTTACCTATGTCTTTTCCAGAGTCATCTGAGCACTCCACCTCTTCAGACGCTTCCTCCCAGTCAGGGAACGAAAACCCCGATCCTCTGGTGGAACCCTCTCCACCTCAACAAGTGGGCGATGATCTCCCAATCTCCCCTTCGGAAGACTTAAAATCCTACGGAGATTTCATCAAGCGGATGGCTAACACGCTCACTCTGTCTATGGTACAGCCCCCGCCTACTGTGACAGACTCCGTGTTCGATATCGTCCAGTTGGACGCCTCTATCCTGTTTGCCTTACCGATGACTTCAGTCCTCCTTCAGGCAGCTAAAGTCCCATGGTCTCACCCAGCATCTACCCCCGTCTCGAGCCGGAGGGTAGATCATATGTATAAGGTGCAGGAGCAGGGTGCTGCATTTCTATTTACCCACCCTAAACCTAATTCTGTCGTAGTCACTTCTTCCTCCAAGGGCAGACGCAGTCCTTCCACCCCCTCTGAGAAAGAAGGAAGGAAACTTGATTCGTTTGGAAGAAAAATTTTATTCTACAGGAGCACTTGGCATCAAGACCTCAAACTATACAGCATGTATGGGGAGATATCAGTTTGCTCTTTGGGAGCAGATGTCTGAATTTATTGCAACCCTCCCCAAGGACGGTAACCGTCAGGCTCACAGGATTCAAAAGGAGGGAATGCTTTTGGCTAAGCATCAGCTCAATGCAGCTAAGCACACATTGGATGCGGCCGCCAAAACACTGACTTCAGCAGTTACCCTCCGACGTCACGCCTGGTTACGTTCTACTGCCCTGTCGCAGGACACCAGGACTCTCATTGAGGACCTTCCATTCAAAGGTGAGGGCCTTTTCAGTGCCACGACTGATACGGTCCTGCAAGACCTAGACAAAAGTATAAAGATGTTATGAAATTTAGGAGTCACGGTGGCTCCTAAACTATCCAAAGCGAAATCCTGGAACAAGCCATGGTCTTGCAGATCCTCTCTTAAGTCGTCCCCAGAAGCACAGTGGCAACGCTCACCCGCTGTGTCTTCCTGCCCTTATGGACACAAACCAAAATTCTCTTCCATCTCTCAGCCTAAGGCTAAGACTTTGAAAGCTTCCAAGCAGAGCCTTTGACTCCTGTCGTCCCACCCCTACCCACCTGTCTCCCTATCTGGCTGCTTGGCAGCGAATAACCTCAGACCGGTGGGTACTTTCCATCATTGATACCAGTCCCGACAGCACAGCGTCAACATGAGTTCTACTCCCGGTATTTTACGGTCCCCCAAAAAGACAGAGGACTCCATCTTATTATGGACCTCAGGGGCCTCAACTAGTTTATCTCCTATCAGAATTTCCAAATGACAACACCACCACACTGTGTTACATGAACAGGGAAGGTGGGACAGTGTCCAGGGGAATCTGTTGATTGGCCTGGGAGATTTGGACCGAGTGTCAATCCCGGGGCATGTTCATTATTGCTGCTCACCTGCCAGGATTGCTTAATGTGCATGCGTACTTTCTGAGCAGAGGAGGCGCATCCTTCCACGAGTGGAAACTCAACTGGGCGTACCTCCAACCAATTTTCCACAGATGGGGTCACCCAGAAATCGATGCGTTTGCAACGCGTCAGAACGCGAAGTGTCGTCTGTTTCTGTACCAGGGCAGGACAGGACCCACTGTCTCTGGGGGACGGCCTTCTGTTCCCATTGTTCCACAGGCACATGTACCTGTTCCCACCAATTCCTCTACTTACCAGAGTGCTAAGCATGAGCATGAAGGAACAATCTCAATGCATCCTCGTGGCACCATGGTGGCCACGTCAGCACTGGTTCCCGACTCTACTCCACATGTCCCGGGGCACATACATACATTTTCACCCGGCACCAGATCTCCTCCAGGAGGGCAGAGTGCTTCACCATGATGTACCACACCTCAAACTCACGGCGTGGAGGATCCCCTAGCACAGCTCAAAAACAGGATAGACCTTGTTCTGTTGAACTGTCGGAAGCCAGCTACACGCACTTCCTATGAAGGGAAGTGGAAGAAATTCCTGTTTTACCTCGAGTCGTTGGATTTAACACCACCCCCTACAGACTTGAGGGTAGTTTTCGGATTCTTGTTGACCCACCTGGAATTGGGTCTTAGTTGCTCCTCTTTAAGAGTCTATTTAGCCACTATTTCCGCCAATCATCCTGCGGTGGATGGCTATTCCGTTTTTTCTCACCCGCAAACGAAGCAGTTTCTGAAGGGTCTCACTCGCCTCTTTCCTCCGGCTCAGGGGCCAACTCCCTCCTGGGGCTAGTACTGAGGGCCTCACTTGCCTCTTTCCTCCGGCTTAAGGGCCGACTCCTTCCTGGGACTAGTACTGTTCTAGTACTGTTTTCTAGTACTGTCCAAATTAACGGGCAAACCGTTTGAGCCACATCTAGTCTACAGCTTCTCTCGTGGAAGACTGCTTTCCTCGTAGCCATTACCTCAGCAGGACGAGTGAGCGAATTGTCTGCACTCCGTTGCGATTCTCCGTACTTGGTTTTTCACCATGATGGTGTCACCTTGGCCCCGGATGTCTCTTTCCTGCCCAAGGTTGTTTCCGAGTTCCATTTACGAGCGGACATCGCTCTTCTCCCCTAAAAGCGACAAGGAACGCCATCTTCATACTCTAGATGTCAAGAGAGCCATACTCTTCTGTCTCGATAGGACAAGGTCATTCCGTCAGTCACCAGCTTTGTTCGTCTTCTATAGAACACCTGTGCAGGGGAAGAAGCTTTCTTCGCAACGTCTATCCAAGGGGATTGTGGAAACCATCAAACTGTGCTACTTACTGGCCAAACGGCCACTTCCGGGCGTGCTCCATGCGCACTCTACCCACACAGTAGCCACGTCCACAGCCTTCCTGAGAGGTTCGTAGCTCACTGACATCTGTCAAGCAGCAACCTGGGCTACCCCCCACACATTTGTGAAGCGTTACGCCCTGGATGTGTGTCTTCATCAACGTTTTGTGGTGGGACAGGCAGTGTTGCAGGCGGCGCAAGTCTAGGACCTTCACCTCCCCTCCTCCAGGTAGGCCTGTTTTTTCCTTGCTAATCTCCCAGAGGTGTGATGCACAGAGACCACGAAGAAGATAAACAGGTTGCTTACCTGTAACTGATGATCTTCGAGTGGTCATCTGTGCATTCACACCACCTGCCCTCCTTCCCCTCTGCTTTCAGTCCTCTCCTTTTTATTACTCAGAGACTGATGGCAGCGGTCAGAAAGAACTGGTGGGATTGTCGTGCCCCTCCCTTGGTCATGCACAGTGGGGCCGGCGCATGACTGAGGAGCGGGCGCGAAAATCCCTTTCGCTTTCAAGAGGGACCGATCGAGGTCACCGCAGGCGCACTATATCCCAGAGGTGTGAATGCACATATGACCACTCGAAGATCATCAGTTACAAGTAAGCCAACTGTTTTTATACAGCCACATGGGATATGGTCAGGGATAAGTGTAACGTGGCTTTTATATAGGTAACCATGTTATAGCTTAGTTTGTCCTGTGGTCTCATCTATGAAAATAAGTGAACTACAGAAAGTCTGATTACATTCTGGCTTTTGAACCACATAGGATGTGGTAATGACTGTAACGTTCGATGAGCTTGGTATCATTGGAAAGAGAAGCAAATGAATTTGAATGTAATTATACCTTTTAATTCTTCACTGTGTTCAAATACTGCCATGTGTTAGAAAAGATTTGAAATTTTTCTCTTGCAAATTTAAAGTCAGGGGAAATAAGGTTTTTAAGAAATGAGTTACAAAGGTGTGTCATTTGGAAGAGAATTTTAGTGACAAAGATTTGTAATTTTGAAAGAATTATAGTGTTGTCATCTATAACAAGCAAATAATAGCATTTTCATAAATAATTGTGTGGGATTAGAAAAAGGTATGCTTGTCTGATTAAACCTTTCTCCTTTTAAGAGCTGAAAAGGAGTGGGGAGACGGAATCCGGGGGCTGTCCTTGAACGCTGCTCGCTACGCTTTGCTTCGGGTTGAGCAGGGCCCTCCTCACACCAAAAACTGGAGGTGAGAGTCCGAGGAAGTCTACTGTTTAATTAAGACCGCTGAGGAAGTTGATTTCAGAAGAGGAAACCCTCACATGTGGTTGTAGGTTTCTATTTAGAAACTCTCTTTTCCTCTGATTATTTCTCTTAGTGTTGGAAACATGTATTTGGATGAGTTTTTTAAAGTTTCAGTTCATAAGTGTTGGATTTAGCCTGTACATTGCAAAGTAAAACGTACAGTGATCTGTTTGCAGGTTTTCTCCTTCTAAGTTTTTTGTTCCCCTTGACCTCCTCCCTTGCATATCAACTCCTTAGCTGCTGATTTTCGGTCAAGAGATTATATGAATTCCCATCCCTGCAGCCATTTTATCCTATACTTTTATGTTTTGAAACATCTTTATTTTTATGTATATGCGTGTGTTAATATGCATCCACACACCCACACACACTGCAGTCTTCATTCTATACTTTATCTTCCCCTTTATCATCCCCTTATCAGCCAGTTTGGTGGTGTGGTTAAGTGCGCGGACTCTAATTTGGGAGAACCGGTTTTGATTCCCCACTCCTCCACTTGCACCTGGCTGGATGACCTTGTGCAAGCCGTAGTTCTGATAAGGGCTGTCCTTAAAAATAAAAAAATAAGGGCTGTCCTTGAAAAAGAGCAGTTTCTGTCAAGAGCTCTCTCAGCCTCACCTACCTCACAGGGTGTCCGTTGTGGGGAGGGGAAGGGAAAGGAGATTGTAAGCCGCTCTGAGACTCCTTTGGGTAGTGAAGGGTGGGGTATAAATCCAATCTCTTCTTCTACTGAGCCAGTTTGGTGTAGTGGTTAAGTGCGCAGACTCTAATCTGGGAGAACCGGGTTTGATTCCCCACTCCTCCACTTGCACCTGGCTGGATGACCTTGGGCAAGCCATAGTTCTGTCAAGAGCTGTTCTTGAAAAAGAGCAGTTTCTATCACAGCTCTCTCAGCCCCACCTATCTCACAGGGTGTCTGTTGTGGGGAGGGGAAGGGTAAGGAGTTTGTGTCAAGTTCCACAGCCAAACAAAAGGAGTACATGCTTATCATAAGGTTATACTTTATTGTAAGAGCTATAGAGGCAGTAACATCATCACTGTTAGGAATGGCTACGTTCCTACAAGCATAATGGGATGTAGGGTATTCGTACGCACCCCCACCCCTAGGCCAATCAGCCTGACTCCCGCTCGCAGGAGAATGGGGCCCCAGGCCATTAAAGCCAAAGCTGGGAATCAAAACTAATCCCACGGGTAAATGATGGGAAGACACTACACAGGCAGCTTGCAAGGTCAGAGATGATAAAGAACGAAGGAATGCGGCAGCAGTTGGTACACAGGTCAAGCAGATGCGCTCTTGCCCATAAACATCGTGGCAGCGTAGCTGACATTCTGCCCACCCTTTGGGTAGTGAAGGGCGTGGCATAAATCCAATCTCTTCTCCTTCTTCCTCTCCAGGCCTCAAGTCTTGGTTTTGCTGAATTTGGATTCAGAACAGTTGGTCAAGCATCCGCGGCTGCTTTCTTTCACCTCTCAATTGAAAGCTGGGAAAGGATTGACCATCGTGGGATCTGTGCTTCCAGGAGTATACTTGGATAAATACACGGAAGCTCAGAAGGCTGAGGAAGTATGTAGTAAGAAATAACCGGACTTTTGCATAGTCACAGACTGCTTTCAGATCCATGTGGCATAGTACGGATTATCAAAATCTGCACTTTATGTATATTTATGGGCTGCTGTAAAAGTTAAGCACCGTTTAAGTACTGATGTTAGAATATGCTAATTTCAGAATTTTGGCGCACTTGTGTGGACACTGGGGGGCAGGCGTTCACCCTGGCCCACGGGAGGCGTGGCGTCCCCCAGCATTCCTTTCCCGGCCCCCGGCCCTTTGCCCACCGGCCCTCCCTTCCCTCCCTCTCCTGCTGACATTTCTCTCTTCTCTCCCGTTCTCATCGTTACGTTTCACTACAAATGAGGCTAACCCAGATAATTTTAAGCCAGACATCAAAATGAGAATTTGAAGCTGGTTTGAAAACCGTGGTTAGTGTTAGCCTTGTTTGTAGGCTGTGCTGGACCGAGGTGGGAGGAGGAGCTAAAGGAGGCAGGAAAGGGGAGTGCATGCCTTTAATGCAGGCGAAGGGGCCTTTTTTCTTTTCCTTAATTGACTCATCCCTGATGTTTCAAAACAATTTTCATAAAGATGGCATAAAGATCTGTACAGTGGCCGTGCAAGGCCATAACCTTGTGTTGGCTTGCTCTGTGTGCGATCATCAGACTAGACCCAGGCTTAAGTCCCCACGCAGCTATCAAGCTCACTGGGTGGCAACTGGGCTGCCTTTCTGAGTTCTTCTGAGGATAAAATGAAGGAGAGGAGGACCATGTATACTGGCCAGAGTTTCTTGGCAGAAGAAATGCCACATGTAGGAGAAAGATGTCATAGGTAGATAGAGTCCTATAGTAGCACCCTTTGCATCGAAGATTGGCTAAATTGGAATGTTTTGTCTTAAACAGATATAAATTGGACCGAAAAGGGGGGGGGTGTTGCACTGACTTCATCCTGCATGAAACTGAGAATTACGGTCGATTCATATGTAACAGTCTAGCATAGTGGTTTAAGTGTTGAACTAGGACCTAGGTTCAAATCCTTACTCAACTGTGAAACTTGTTGGATGACTTTGGGCCAGTCACCCTCTTCCAACCAAACCGACCTCACAGGGTAGGTGTGAGTCTGAAACAAGTCACATACGTTTGCTGCTATGCAGGGGTCATTTCGTAGAAAAAGAGCTGCAGGAGCTCATTAGCATAACTTATTAGCATATGCCACCCCCCCTGACATCACCGGGAGTGTGCACCAGCCCCTCTGACAGGCAGAAGCACCTGGGATCCATTCTTTCCCCCCTCTCCCTTCCCTTCGCCTCCAAGTCAGG